AAAATATTACTAATGTACATTTTGAAAGCCTATGTGGCCTAATTTTAAATGTAAAGATCATGGGATGATTTTTCCCTGATTCATAAGGAGGCTAGTGTTTATTGAGAGCTACCCATATACCAGGCATTGTTCTAACGCAGTGCTTCTCAACTCTGTGGGGTTAAGAATTGTTTTTTTTTTAATTATTTTCAGTTTTAAATCCATTGCAAATTAGTAAGCGGTTCTGCGGATGGCTAGTGTGCAGCATGCGCCCCACACGCCTCACATCCAAGTTCAACAAACTGGTCTCTTGCCGGCTCAAAAGGAGTCCACCAATCATGAATTTGGATGTTGTGACAATGTGAAAGGATATAGAAGTTTCCACACGCTTGCTTGAAATTCCTGAACTTATTGTGGACTGGTTACAGAAGCTCATGGACTGACGTTAGCTGACAGACCTTGCTTTGAGTGTCACTGCTGTAAAGTACATACTTCCTGTTGTATCTCTCCAACAGTCCTCTAAGAAAAGTATTATCTCAATCTCAATTTTACAAAAAGAAAGAAATTGAAGCATAGTGTGCTTCCCAACTTCAAGGGCCAACAATTAGCAGGTTGTGGAACCTGGATTCAAATCCAGGCAGCCACTGCACAGAGGAGCCAGGATTTGAACCCGGAGCTGTGCTCCTCCTCGTGTGTGCTTGTTCATTTGAACTATAAAGTAACAACAGTTCAGTTTAGGATATCAGGCGAAAACCTCCTCCAATATACCGTCTACATTTTACAAAGCTACCTTCATCTACACCTGTCTTGTTCTCCTCTCTTGGTGGAAGTGGGTACCTTCTTCCTGTCCAAGGTCAATGTCTTTCCTTCTGGATTCCATCCTTTCTGTTTCCATGGATGCTCTTGGTCCATCAATCATCCCAACCAAAGCAACTGTGCAAGGTCAGGAACCATATCCATTCTACAGATGAAGAGGCCGAGGCTCACAGAGATAGAAACTTGCCCAAGCATGTAACCAAGGCTTCATGGCTATAGGGTGGCCATATCCCAATTTTTGTAAGCGACAGTCCCAGTTTATTGCCAGGACATCTTGGCTGGTTAGCGCTTTCCTTTCACTCTCAAGTGTCCCTCTTTGGATAGTAAATTCTTTGGTCATCCTACATTGCTAGTGAGTGGCAGACACAGAATTGGTAGCCAGATCTGTGTGAGTGACCTCCAAACCAGGGGCTCTTTCTGTTACCCCAGGCTGCCTCTTAAAATTTCAGAATTAAAAGGCTTAGAAGGAAGGTTTATTCTCAGTGATTATTCATTCACTCAGCATTATTGAGCATCCACAATTTGACACTGTGCTAGAAGATGTAGATTAAAATATGAACAGAGCATGGTCCAAGTCCTCAGAAGCTCATGGTTTAGTGAGGAAAGAGACCCACACACGCTTATAATCAGGACAGGCTACATAATTTACAGGATGCAGCGCAAAATGAAAAAGCAGGGTCCTTTGTTTAAAAATTCAGAATCTCAAAATGGTGAAAACAGGCCATTAAACCAAGTGCTGGGTCCTTCTAAACAGGGGTCCTGTACACTGCAGGTCCTATGACTCAGTGCACCCCTGAGGGGTGCTCAGGGCATCACAGAAATACACAGCAGTGACCCAATCTGAAGACTGGTCTTAAGATCACTTCCTAGAAGAAATGAAACTGCTGATTTTAGAAAATAAGGATAATGAGGATATTTCTCCTACATGGACCTTCTCGTCTATTCTTCAAATCACAGGTTTAATGGAGATTAAAAAATAAAACGAGAGCAGGTGAAAACATCCGGAGAAACGGATAGGCTGATGGCATTGATTGTGGTGATGGTTTCATGGGTGTACACTTATCTCCAAACTCATCAAGGTATACACATGAAATATGTACAACTTTTTGTGTTATTCATACCTCATTAAAGTGGTTTAAAAAACCACATTCAGAAACACCTTATAGTGCCTTGTTTTTGTACATATCCTGGAACTAAAGAGAAAGTGAGATTTATTTTATTAAATGGTTAGAGAAAACACAGACCGTGGCCCCTTATGTAGCAAAAGCTTCAAATGCTTTCTCTGTGATGGGCCACAAGATCGTCCTTGAACAGCCTCATATTTTAAGAACTCAGCAGAAATAATTTCCTATGTGCAGATTATTCACTTTTAGAAGATTGAAGCACTGAAATTGAGATTCTAAAAGAAAAACAAGGCCAAGAACTTTTTTTAGTTAACTCAATTGTGAAGGATGGCACATAAAAGTGCCCAATGGATACTGATCTACCACTCTACCAACCCCCCCCCAAAAAAAAAATTAAAGCAGAACCCTTGTATTTCTCATATTTCGCCCAGTTACTAACAGTTTCCACTTCCCCAAGGTTATACATGGTGCTGACTTTGCACCCTAGAGTTTAGTTGTTAGTATTTTTGAATTTTGTATAAATAGAATCATGAATATTCTTCTGGGTCAGGCTTCTTTGGAACGATATTATGTTTGTGAGTCTCATGTGTATTGCTCACGTAGTTCAATTGCTTTCTTTGCCGTATTCCACTACCACATAGTTCGTTTTCTTTCTGCTGCTGATGAGCATCTGGATTATTTCCAGTTTGGGATATTAGGAATTATGTTTCTAGGAACATCCTTGGAAACACCTTTGGTGCATGTGTAGACACTTGGAGTAGCATTAATGGATCACAGGGTCTGCAGTTTGAAAACTGCTGTCAAATTGTTTTCCAAAGTAGGTTTTTCAATATACCTTTTTACACATACAGCAGTAGGAATTCCTGTTGTTTCATTGGCATGTGATTGATATTCTCAATCTTTTAAATTTTAGCTATATCTAATGGGTATTTAGTGGTATCTCATTGTGGCTTTAATTTGCATTTCCCTGCTAACTAACAATAGTGAGCACTTTTCAAATTATTGGCCATTTGGATATTCTTTTCTAAAGTACCTATTCAAGTCTCTTGTCCATTTCTCTTAACCGTGCTTTCTGTGTGTTTCTTAATGAGTTTTAGGAGTTCTTTACATTCTGTGGTGCTGGTTCTCAGACTAGTCTGCATGAGAATCACCTTCAAGGCTTTTTAAAACACAGATTACCAGTCCCCACCATTAGGGTTTCTGACTCAGTAGATCTGGGGCGAGGCACAAGAATCTGCATGTCTAACAACTTCCCAGCTTATGCTGTGCCCCTGGTCCAGGGACCACACTTTGAGAACCAATATTCTATAGTGTTTTAAGTGTAGCAGCAATAGATGTTTCTTGTTAGTTTTGGACAAAGACATCTTAAAAAACAAAGACACAACCAAAAACCACAACCATTTAATACTTGTTCAAGCCCGAGGCATAAGCTAATACCCTCCCTTCCTGGACTTGCTGAAATAGCAACTACTTCAATCTGTCCAAAACCCACTGAAATCTGCTTAGAATATTTGGTAAGCCCAATTAACCAAGAAAACCAGTTGATAATGAAAGCTATTTTTTGAGCTCATAATTTTTGATCTCAGGAGAACTCACTGGCTTTCATCACTAAGGACGAGTCAGTAATCCCTCTAAGAAGAAAAGTACAGATCTCTGAATGGAGATAAAAAATTGTCATTTATTTCAACTGAATTTTGTTTCATTAAAAAACTCTATAACATTAAAACAGAAATGAAACAGAAACATATTTATATGACAGCCTTTACCCTCTAAAGAGCAAATAAACATACACATTTCAAATATATCTAATGTTTGAACAAACCTCATTATTATCACTGTTATCATTTCAGTTGCCTAAAATACTAACCATGACTTACTAACAAACATCTTATTGTGTGTGGTTTATTCAACTGAACAGTAACCATATTTCTAAACACAAAGAGTTGAACAGCTACTACACTCAATGTATTTTGGTAGTTAGCTTGTGTGTGCTTTTTAAGGGTGCATTCTACAAAACATCTGTTTCTCAAAAGCCTACCACATCAAGGCACATATATGTGTCCATGTGTGCATGTATTAGTATAATAAGCAATTTGAGGGTGGTTTACACCTTATTCTGAGAGGTCATTAGAATCAACCTTAAACCACGAGAGTAAAACCTTTTAGTAAACTGAACTGAACATACCACAGCCACCACCATCAAGAAAAAGTGAAGATCCATAGTTCAGAAAAGTATACCAGGTCCCAGGAAGTTTTGCGGTTTGTTGATCCACTAATCAGAAACTCTAAAGAAACTACTATTAGTGGTCTTAAGTAAACTAACCTGCACAGGCTCATGAAAATGAACCTTCTGGATGCATCCTGAGAATGTACTGCATGATTACAGTCAGTGCTTTTCTCAAGTTAGGAAAGCCAATGCAATTTAGAAAGGATTTCAATAAAGGCCAAACCAAAGGCTTACAGTTCACAGAGGGTTAACCTTCCGTAAGCCAGAACGCCCATAAGAATAATACCATATATTTCAGGAATTGTAGTTAGAGGTTTGGCCTTTGTGGAAAGTTTCATCACGCTGAGTCCAAAACTGCAACACAGTTACCATGTCAGAATCTCAAAACTCTAAAAGATGAGGGATGGTCACACTTGCGTCCTTCAGTATCAAATCACCTCTCATTTTGAGAAAGTATTATAATCCCTACTGTCTTTTTTAGAACATATGATAAAATATTGTTCTTCTATACTTTAACCATATATATTTTTGGTATAGATGTTGGGGGGCAGGTTCGCCCTACTATGATGTCACTTAAGTATATTTTTTGTTTTTCCTATTGGTTTTATCTGTACTATTTTATAATAACTACTAACCTTTGGGGGAAATAATGGGTTTCCTGCTTAGAATGAAACGTCTCCTGCTTTCTTACGTGTGGTTTGGTACAAACTGCACTCACTGCTTTCTTTCCCAAAGTTATGCTATCCTGTAAACTGGGCAAAGTCTAGCTGCTTTCTCTGAGAGAATACATGCGTTTATTCCTGTACCGCTTTGGGGGAAATAATGGATCCCACTTAGGAAAAAGAAAATAGTGAGACAAAACGGCAACTTCACGCTGTCTTCAAGTAAACAGAATCCCTGATACAACTGGAAATTAACGTGTAATTTTGGGGGTAGTAATACACACATACACACACACACAAACCCAAAACTGTACCAATTTTTGCCCTATTCCTTAAAAATGAGCTTTGGCTCTGGAGTCTCTTAAGGCACAAAACCTGGTAGACACCCTTTGTTGGTGGCCTGCACCTCTGATTTGGATTTTAAAAAAACCAACATTTAAATAAAAATAAACCATTTTGTTAGAGCTTGACGTCACTGGATGAAGTGAGGGGGAAAATCCAAATGAACTAACATCACATATGTACAAATATTTGTTGATCGAGTATAAAAAGTACAATGCAGTTTACACAGTGCAAAAACTATTAGAAAATGCCTCCGGAATAGGTGTGACATCTTGGTAGAATCACAGTGCGGTCTCAAAAATAGCGAAGGCTAAGGGCTGTCCATTGGAAGTGTTCATTACCACATGGTCAGTCTGGGCAATATCTGGATAATTCCTTCTGAAGTATACCTGTTCAAAAAAAATATAGGTGAGCATTAAGAGAACATGTTTAAAAGTGTTAAAGTCCCCCTCCCTAAAACAATGCAGTTCTATGTCCACCTCTTCATGTGAAGCACAATTAAAAAACAGGAGGATGTGTATATTCTATGGAGGAATTAGCCCCCCTGAAACCCTCCGCAGGGCTGTGCTGAATGCCAAACAACCTGTAGAGCCACTTCAGCTTTGATCACTCTGATTCACAGATATGTTTTATCACTATATTAAATTGATAAGCAAAACCATTTTACTGATTCAAAACCTGGAGATGAATTAAAAAACAGGGTGACAAAGAAGCTGGGAAATCTAGTGTCTGCACAAGGGTTTCTCATTTTCACACATAAAATGAACACAATAGATTTGGATGTTAATATCGAGTTGTAATCCCTATATTTTATAAACTCTGATTGACAAGCATTGAAACGCGAGCGTGTATATATGAAATATCCTGGCGTTTAATTCGTGCGGCAAAGCAGTTATAGGGCCTAATAGAAATGTGGTTTGTGGATAGTGGCCCATGATAATGAAAAGAGAAGCAAAAGCTTTCACAATGACTCAACCAAGCAACTTCTCTAAAATGTAAGATGATACCAAATAATAGGACAGTTCTTTGCCAAGCCTTTGAGTTCCTGAATTCTACCAATTTCTAGCTGAACTGGAAGAGATACAGGTTTCCTGATAAATGTATAATCAGAACATAAAGGAAATGAAATGCTGTCAAGTTTCTCTGTTCCACAATCATCAGTTTTTAGTAGCTGTATCATATCTTGGTTCCTTGACAGATGCGCATAACAAAATGAAATAATGTCAAGACTTGTGAGCTCTTATCTCAAAATGTGTTTGGGTGAAAAAGGACTTCAAATGTAATTTTTTTTTCCAAAGAAGAATGTGAAAAGTTTTGTTTGAGTCTTTAAAACAGAAAATGTACCATCTATCTGAGGCAGACACATGTCGTCAGCTGGGTCTCTTAGTCATACGATTCTGGATCTATTTTATAAAACCTGGCTCCAAATATATTTGTGGGTACTGTCAACAAAGTTATCATTTAGAGATAATGGCCTTCACGTACAAAGAAAAGTGCCGAGACACCTACCTACATATTAAGTGTGTTTTCTTTTTCTCTCATTGCTTGCACGCTTGTTACTCCAAAAACATCATTACATGTAAAACACTATATATTGTCACTTGAGCAAATAAATTGTCCAATAATGCTTAGATGAAATCTGAAGCTATTTCCTTTATAATGCAAGTATACAAAAATAAGACTTTTTGGGGGCGATTTCATATATTCTCCCTCCCCCACTTTTTTTAAGCTATCCATATTTTATGTGGTATAGATTTATGCATTCCAAAAAAAAAAAGCTATTTCTTAGTGAAACTAAAAACAGCCAAAAGATCAAATGGACATATACTTCACTTTCTACTTCTTAATAATCCTCCCCAAATAAGCCAGGTCCTTCCCCATAACCCTCTCATTGTATTAGCAATTTTTAGCAATTATTAGCGATTGTTTAAACAAAACGGTCTTAGTTTCACGGTCTGAAATACTTTGTTGAAAACAAGCTTCCTGTGTATATAATCTTTGATTTGACCTTTCTTTTTCTCATCTGTTACTGTGTTCTATAATATACTATGGATAACACCACAGGTGAGATAAAGCATCTTTGTGAACAGCACAGATGATGAAGGGAATTGAAATTTTTTTTTATTTCAGCATATTACGGGGGTATAAATGTTTAGGTGACATATATTGCCTTTGCACCGCCCGAGTCAGAGCTTCAGGCGTGTTCATCCCCAAGAGGGAATTGAAATTACTAAGCGATCTTTAACAGGGTCATAGGCTAAGCCTGGGATGGAGAGGTCCAGTCTCAGCTCTCTCCTGAGACTCATTGCTGATCCTAGAAAAATTACTTAACCACTTTCCATGCTGGCTGCCTCATCTGTAAAATGAGATAACAATGACTTACCTCATAGGAACTAATTAATGGCTACAAACTGAAGGTTGAAAACATGCCGAGTTAAGTGTTGGGTGTGATTATGAAGGCTACTCAGAAGTGGCCCCTTAGTACATGGAAAGTAGCAGCATCACCTGGCTTGAAAGATGAAAAAAAAGCATCTAGCAGTCCCTTTTGTGGATCTTTTGATTTTATCTTTACAGAACCCCAAAGCTGTGGTTGAGACAACTTTCACTGAGTGAATACGGTATCCCAGGAGGTAGAAAGGTGCAGTTGAAAGTTTACAGAAGTCAGAGTATCAACACTTACTAACTGGTGGCTTTGGGAAGTTACCTAGGTTCTTTTGCCTGTTTCTTCATGTCTTAAAAGAGATAATAATGCCAGATCAGAGGGTTGTGAAGCTTAAAAGAGACAATGCCATACAAGTGCTGGGAATCTTGTCCCTCTCCCTCCTCTTGGGTTTGGATCACTATAACTCTTCTAATGTAAGTTAAAGCTAAGTTCAGTATTTAAACTCTGGCTCATTAACAAAACCACCATAATGACATTAGATTTTAGGAAAGGCAACAGAGCAATAAAAGCTCCCTTGCACGGACAAAGGAGAGCAACTGGGCTTTATTTATACTGCATTCATAAGACACCATGCAATGTGTTGAATTTTGGCTCAAGACTCTCATTGTCATTCTTACTGACCTGTATAGCCCTGGTTCAATCATAGTAACTCTCAAGGCCTCAAATTCACCATCTTTAAAGCAGGTCTAATTTTGGTGTACATCATTGGCATGTATATTGTCAAGGTTAAGGAGTGATGGAGAGTTAGAAAGGACTTCAGCTTTTAAGATAATAATGAATTTTCTCTCTCCTTGTCCTTTCAGAAATCACAATGATCATCAAAGATATTGAGAAATAAAAACAAAAATTCAATCTTTGATAAAATCAGGAGTCATCTGAAGCTCCTTATTGCTTGTGATTCCCATAGGCATCCTCTCTCTGTCTCGTCCTGGCCCAATTTGGACCCAGTTGCAACTGGAGCAGACCTTGACACACAGGAGAGCACAGTTCTTCAGGAGAACTCTAAGGTGTGTCAATAAGGAATCACATAGAAACATATTTGCCTGAACTATGCACGTTGGTGAGGCCTTAGGAGAAGAGAGATTCTGAAATGCAGCACTGTAACTGTCTGTCCATCTCTGTAGGCTCGGGAGGAGGAAAGGCTAAACAAACATGCATTCTCAATTTCTTTCTCTCTCTGTCCCCCTCCCTGGGTCATAAGGTACTTTCCTATTAAGCAGGGAGAATTTTCTTTAGCCTGAAACAATGCCCTAGAAACAACTACCCTGCAGCCATCTGGTCTAGGAAAAACTCATTTTGTTCACAGGTAAGGAGTAGGAATAATAATCTTTAAAAAGTGGTATAGGATCTGTAAAATACACAAACAAAAAGGAAGGAAAGGAACAAGACAAACACATGACAGACACTGAGCAGATGAAAATTATAAAAAAAAAATACGTTCAAAGGAAATGTAGCAGAACAATCAATCTGTGCATAACAGAGATAGAAGAATACAGAAAAACCATGGCAAAACAACAGAAGATGCTGAAACATGAGTTGACAGTGGCCAAAATAAAGTAGAAGAGAAAAAGGAAAATATCAAAGAAATTTTCTACAGAAGGAAGCACAAAGATTAGCCAAAAATAGTATACTGAAAAAACAGCATGAGACATGGTGAACAAGACTGAGCGAGTAAGCAAATAACTATAAATTAATAAAGAATTAAAAAGGATTAAACAGAAAAATAGTTTTATAAAATAGACAAAGGACATACAACATATAAATGGTACATATTTGTAAAGAGGTCAATGCAATCAAATAAAAAATATCAAAGATAAAAATTAAGCAAACTTCCAGAAACAAAAGAAAACTTGAGTCTTAAGTCCAAGAGCACACAAGGATGACCTAGGAAAAACTAACCCCTTGGAGAAAAAAGATCAATTTAAGTCTAATGTTGCCTTAGACTTTTCCGTATGAATAGACAACACTAGAAGATTTAAGAGCAAAGATTACAACATACTAAGTGAAAGAAGGAATGATCCAAGAATTTATAACCAGCAAATTTAAATTCGAGAAGCAGCAAAGATCTCAGACATGCAATAATCCTTATTCCAGCTGCAACAGACCCTCCTTTATGATGATGCAGAGCACTGTTTTGCAAACTTTTTTTCTAACTGTCACTCACAATAATAAATACATTTCACTTTACATTGAGACTTGGAACACATCTACTAGCTTTATCTGTATCCATATTGAAAAGAGTATCATGAAATATTCACTATTACTATAAAAAATACATTGTTATGTTCCTTCCATCCCATTCTTCCCTATTTCACTTCTTATAATACAGGTCATGATGGACTAAATGGATTTCTCAGATTCACTGAAGTTTTAAAAGTACTAGAGGATAAACTTTAGCTAACCAAGAGATGGAGAAGGGATCATTTAAAACAGTCAAATAGAAGCTTAAGAATAATTGAGGGCTGAAAGCAAACAGTAGAAGAAAAACTAAACTAAAATTTGGTGGTAGAATGGAGACAGAGAAGTATACTTACATTGTCATTATTTATAATGGGGAGTAAATACTAATAAAGAAACAGCATTTAGAAGAAACTAAAGGAACACATATAAAACAGTAAGCAAAAAACAAAAAATCACCAACTATAAATTAAAAGATAAGAAATAACACAAAAAACTGAAAGCATCTCACATGATACTACTAAGATAAAACATACATATAATCACGATGAATGTAAATGGACTAAACTCATCTGTTAAAAAAAAGGGCTAAGATTAAATCTTAGAGCAAAACCTAACTAGATGCCATATCCAGTGACAAAACTTTGGATACTGAAAGACAAAGACATACTGGGCAAATGAAAACAAAGCAAAAGCAGGGGACCCAATCTTAGTTTTGGATTAGCTTGGACTCAGGGCCAAGAACATTAAGTCAATCAAAGAAAGGCA